CTATATGCAGATACTTACAGATGTGACCAAATTATCTCTTAATCTCCTTTAATAAACTAAATACATAGGACATCTTGAAGCTGTCGCTTGTGGCCATGTTTTTCCAGTCCTCTAATCATTTGTGTAGCTCTCTGAATTGGCAGCCAAATCAGCTTCTAATATTACACTTTTGCTTTATTGTTACTCTTATACTAAAGTAGCTGGAAACATAGCATTCTTCTAGAGGGTACATGAGAGGAAGGAACAAGTAAGTAGAAAAGGGGGTAATATAAATGGGGAAAAAAGGAAGACTAATTGTACCTTATTTCTGAGATTGTTCAGAGGGGGTGCAGTGCATCTGTAATGACATGAAGTGTTCCCTTTTATTATCCATAACACAGAATCCTAGGGGTAAAACAGCAGTCTAACAAGCTTAAAATATTTGCCAATGCCAAAGGTGCAAAAATTGAAATCTGGCTCCACGAAGTCAGGGGGTTGGCTTTATAAATATAGGAATGGGTGGGGTATTTTTGTTTTGTGGTGTTCCAAAACACTTATAAATAGGGTATACACTTCATACCTTGCTCTGCGACACTGAGGAAAAGATACTTTACATAATCACATGATTGCAGGGATTACCAAAAACACCTCATCCCACATCGTCCATGATAAAAAAAAATAGCATATATGGATTTCCAGCATTTTTTCCATCTAAACTATGGATATTAGAAAGAAGAAAATTGATCACTTTTGAGCCATGTTAGGATTATATTTCTATAACAACTCTATTGTTATGTTTAGTGTCATATTTTAACCAGCAGTTACTATCTGCGTGCCTGCAGGAGTCAGAGTCCAGTCCTGCCCCTCAGGGTCCAAAGGACGTAAGACCCATAGGGCTGTGCAAACCGGCAGCGGTCTGTTTTGACAGAACATTATTCCATTTTGAATTTTGTTTCGAGTCGAAACAGCTGATTCGTTCCATCCCGTCAAAACAGTTTTGCCATTTTGCCCATAGGATATAATGGGGAAGGCCAAAACATCCTATAACTTTGTCATTTCTAACCCGATTTGGATGAAACTTGCAGGAATGGTAGCCCCTTCTGAGGGCATGAAGCCTGCTAAGTTTCAAGATGATAGGTGCAGGGGGTCTGGGGAAACTACACCCCAAAATGTTGAAAGCAAAACTCATGTCACGTGTATGTGTTAAACCACAGCAGAGTTAAAACCACCAGCATGCTAGCCCCTGTGGAGGCCAGAAAGCCTGCAAAATTTCAAGGAGATAGGTCCAGGGGTTCATGGGAAACTGCACCTCAAGCTGCAGACAAGCAAAACTCGTGACATGGGTGACACTGTGCATGTTAAGGCGCAGCAGGGTGACAGCTGCAGGCCTGCTAGTCCCTGCTGAGGCCACAAAGCCTGCCAGCTGCCAAGAAGATCGGTGCAGGGGGGTTCGGGGACCCTGCACCCCTAGCTGCTCACAGGCAAAAGTTGTGACATGTGTGCTTGTGCAACTGCTGCCTCTCATCAGGCATCAGGAGTGAAGACCCCGCATCCCTTGCCACCACAGGCCTGGGGGTAATAATTGACCACAGTATGAACATGAGCTGCCAGTGCAATGCTGTAGCCAGCAGGGCCAACAATACCCTGGCATGTATCAATTGGTTCATGGTCTATGCCTGGGGCTCTTGCTTACTGCAAATAAGAGCAAGATATAAGACAATGGTATAATAGATATTTGGACAGCAATGTTTTAAGGCTGTGCTATACAGTAGGAAATTTCTTGGGGAGATTAAAAAGAGTTAATTCTGGTACAAGGGCACAACTGAAATGCAAAGGAACAGTTTGGCTATTTAGGGGCAGAAACCCACCCTCCAATATTTCTTGCCTTGGTGCAATTCTAATTAAATTAGGACATCCAAGTGTTTGGAGACCACAGGGCAATTACTCACCAAATGACACTTCGTAAGTCTCCATCTGTTCTTCATGTTTTTTGGCCAAATTATAGATTCGCTTGGCATATTTTCTTAAGGCCTCTCCATAATCTTGACAGTTAAAAGGAATGACATGTGAGTCTGCAAGCTCATAGACTAGGCTGCCTCGTAACTGGGCAACAGCAAGCTGCTTCCTGAACGTGGGGTCATAAAATTTTTCTACTAGCTCAAAAGTCTCATAGACAGTGTGGTAGACTGGATAATTGCTATACTTGTCTGCTTTCTGAAAGAGAGAAGGGTGGGGGGGAAATCAAGCATGTGGGATGTTTAAATTCAAACTACTTGAGGGGTCGGACTAAAGCTACCAGAGATCCCTCAGCTTCCACATGAGAAAACACAAATTTCCAGATGTGTGACACTCTCTCACTGATTTTGCATGCAACTCTTATGGAACAAAACCAGTCTGAATCCATGGAGTATTTCCCAGCAGTGAGAGGGTATTGCATTCCTTCTTTTTATAGCTTCTTTCTGGGATTGTCTTGAGCTCTGAAAAGTCTGTGCATAGCACCCAAAAAGAAAACCAGTCCGAGTGTCCAATCCATACATGTGTAGTCCCGCTGGAATCCTGTGCAATTAAACTAATTGGCTTGTGCACTTAGCTACATCCATTCCCTCATTTCCTCTTCCTTACCTTGCAATGGAAAATAATACTCCTATTCTCCATCCCTAACTTTCTCATACCTGCCACTGTTTCCAACTAAACGTCCTGTACATTGACTGGTCTTTCACTATTTATGTCATGTTGTCTTCCTTTTTTCCTTGAGATACTACTTACACCCCAACCTGAAAAAGCCTCTAATGCTAGCTCTTTTCTGTACCGACTGTATTAGTTCCCACTGCTCTTGACTTTATAGCTGTGCTTTTGAAATGCTGTGAACTCATCAGAATAGAGGACTAGATTGCTAGTGTCCATTTCTTTGTAATCACTTGCACTTCTCTACCCACTATGAGTGTTAAAAGACACAGTTCAGGAACCCATCTTAGAAATCTGGACATGTCTACACAAGATGCAGCATGGCAAGCCCTTCATCCCCATCCTCACCTCTCCCCCAGCATCAGACTTCCATCCTTTTGTGTTTTATAATGTAGCTTTTGCAAATATACAGAGCTCCACAATTATAAATCCTAAAGAATGTTTATTGCAGAATTAGGTGTCTCTTAACCATCTTACCTTTTTTTTATTTTTATTTTTTTGCTGAAAAATTAATGCAAGTTTAGCAGATATCTTATTGTAAGAGTTTTGCAAGCATTGCTAACAAAACATTTTATAAACAGGGTAAAAACATAAAACTACACTTTTTGGACAGTTGCCTTCCAAAAATAAAGGAAAAATTGGACAAACCTTTCATTTAGTAAGGCCCTTTAGAAGGGTGATTTTTCACTAGCTAGCTAGAACATGTTACTAGAGTTTTAAATAAATAATATATATAAGGAGACTCCGATGAAAGTTGGAATGATAGCTATGTCTAGAGACAGATATTATAGCCCAGGAACGTCCAACCTTTTTGAATGTGGGGCCAGATCATGAACTTTATCACCCAGTGGGCCGGCAAGCCATATTCAAACACGCTCTGTCCTGGGCCAGAGAGAGACCCTGCCTGTGCAGCCCTACTGCACCTGCCTGTTACTACAAGGTTCATGGTAGCTGCTGTTGGGCAGGGGCAGGAGGGACCCATTCTGCATCCAGCCACCTACTGCCCCAGAGACTGAAGGGGAGAAATAAATAGCTCCACATCTCCATCCCCTGAGCAGTGCAGTCCCACAAGCTGGCCCTGCCTGAGGGGAGCCAGAGCCGCTGAAGGCTGGGGAAGGGACAAAGTTCCCACACATGCTGCATCAGCTTGACATTGCCAACACGGTGCACGTGGGAAGAGGAGTAGCCGTGTGCCTCTCGGGACAGGATGAGCCCAGCCGGAGCGGCAGGGGCTCAGCTGCACTTTTCTCAAGCTGCACACAGCTCCGCCACCGCTTCTGCTGGCTGGTGCCAACCTGGCTGGCCTCCTCCCGTCCCCAGCAGCATGTGGGAAGCCAGCATGGGGGAGGCCTCGGCAGGCAGGTCCTGGTGTCCCCTCAGCTGCCCGCCCGCATGGCCCTGCTCACTGTGGTGGCCAGCCGCCCACACACACAGCTTCAGTGGCCCCGCAGAGGTCACACTGGGAAGCTGCTGAGGGGCTGGGGAAGGGACAAGGGGTGGGCGTGAACACTGTTTACTTTCCTTTCCCGTTGCAGCACCTTGGGCCTCAGAAAATGCCTTGGCAGGCCACACGTTGGACAAACCTGCTATAGCCACTTGGTCACAGAGTAGTCTATCTAAATATAAGCATCTAAAATGCATACCTCATTATAATAGATGAATTATTCTTCACGTCTTTATTGCTTTGCAAAATTCCAACGTTGATCTTTTTACATGCGGAAAAAAATCTTTGAAACAGGTGTACAACTGCCAAGCAGATAACTTTTCAAAATAAAGCCACAAATTGGTTTTATTGTCAGGCAACTTAGAGGACTTACCCTATTCTTGGTATAACGGACTCTGCCAGATGCAATTCCCAGTCGCTGGAAGTAAGCCTCAAAATCACTGCCTGAGCCCAGTTTGTTTATTCTATGTGTAGCAAAAAAAAGGTACCAAAATGAGACTACAGTCTGACTGCATCTAAACTATGACTGAATATTTATGCAAGGTGCTAGTAGCAAAATTTCAAACCAACACAGTTTTGGACAAAGTCATCACTGTAGAATACTTGGGGAAAGGAGGTGAGAGAGATAAGTATCAGGGGATTCAAGCATTAAAAACCTCTTTAACACTCAAAAAAATCAGGAGACTATAAACAAAGATGTATTTCCATACTTGTGGGAGATTACCATAGAGTCAAATCTAGGCAAAGAATTTCTACTGTGTAAAAGGCAGTTGCCTTTGTTACTTACAGGTGAACACCACCATCTACTGGATAGATATGGTCACATAACCAAAAATAAAAGTATCATTCAATAAATGGGGAGGGGCACAGGGGGGAGCAGACATAATATTCTGGCTAAGGTTTTTATTATGCTCATACACATGCTTTTAGGAAAATAATCTGTGTGCGCGTCAAAAATATTTAACATGCTGCTTAGCCAGTGGGGATTTACTGAAGCCAGTAAAGCTGATGATCCACTTGGAAAGCAGCTCTTAAAAGGTGAGAAATAACTTCACTAATTTACTGGGATTATTTATGAGAGTCAGGGCTGGAGGCTGGGGCCTTGGGGGAGGCTGGGGCCTTGGGGCACAGGCTTGGGGCACTTGAGATAAGTAACATTTGTTAAAACCCACTTGCCTTAATAGTATAATGACTTCCATTTCATAATTAGGGACTTTCTTTTGCCAGTCAGGAGCACACAAATAGCTGCATAATTTCCAAAAGGGATCTTCTAGAATTCAGCAATGTTTGCTCTAGGTCACTTTGTATATTTAAATATACCAAGGTGTTAGTCTTTTATAGTCAACTATATCTAAAAATATAGAGCAGTACAAAAGCATTCAGACTTATTAAAAGGAACTGGATGGAGTAGTAGTTCAACTACTTGGATATCCTAACCGACTTGATCCTGCATCAGTGCAGGGATTGGGCTAGACCAGGGGTGGCCAACCTATGGTGCAGGCAGCTTGTGTGTGTGGCATGTAGCTGACCAGGGATGGGGCAAGGACCACAGGGGCAGAAGAGGCAGAGAGAAGAAAGGAAAACATCAGATCAGCCAGGGAGCACAGGGCTGGAAGCAGAAAGCAGAGCAATCAGAAGAAAAGAATCAGAGTGACACTTATGAGGAGTACAAGGCTAATTTGTGGCATGGCTACAAAAAAGGTTGGCCCCCACTGGACTAGAAGATCTCTTGAGCTCCATTCAATTCCCTATACATCTATGACTACACTACAATTGTTTCCCAATGCATTTTATTAATAAGACCTCTAAGCATTCAGAGATTTAATTTTTGAATTGGCAGGGTTGCTACTGGTGTGGATTTATAGAGTGCTCCTAGATCATAGATATTGCTAGATGGTCATCTTCTACCAGGAAGTTTTGTATTGTAACTGTTGAAAATGTCCTTCAAACAAAACCCTGCAAAACATTTGAAATACCAGGGGAAGGAGGGATTGAGGGGAACACCTATTACAGTTTAATAGACTTACCTGGGTTGATCATCATCGTCTAGTGAGCGGTCCTTTTCAAGCCAGCTCTCATAGAGAGACTTGCTTTCATAGCCCTCATCAGGGCTTGAGATCTGGAGAGGCAAAGCACATGCTATTATTAAAAATGCCTCACTTTCTAATTTAGTTCTAGAGATGTAAAGTGCTAACTGATATACTCCTTCACCTAAATTCACAGGCACACATGTGACCTTACAATGCACAGGCCCCAATTATGGGCTGCATCCCAGATGCACTTGGAACAGGTGGAGAATGGCAAAGTCATTGACACCAGTTCAGTGCTGGGACCAGTTGGGATCCTCCAATTTATGTCAAGTCCCCATGGTTCCAAGAGACTGCTTCAACACCCATAAATTCCCCAGCCTCACCGTCTTCCCATTAGGAATACCCTCCATGCTAGAGGCTGGAAACAGACAGCCCCAGTCTACTCAAGGTACTGCTGACGCAGGGGAAATACTTCACAGTCAGCCTAGGCCTGCATTATGGCTGCTTTGTGCAAGATGAGGAACTGTACTGCAGGGCAGGTTCTGAATCATAGAAATGATTATTTATATTACAGCAGCATTCAGAGTTTCAAGTGATATCCAGGCCCTATTACACAGTGAATTGCACATGCATATAGTGATAAACAATCATTACCTCAAGGAAATTGCAAATCACAAACACAAGTAGACAAGGTAAGGATCATACAGATGGGGACAGGCTGAGATCAGATAAAATGACTTGCCCACGGTTATTAGAACTGTGGCTCAGCTGCGCAGCAAATCTAGGTCTCCTGACCCAGGAACCCAAGCACAGGCCTTCCTTCTTTAAGGATTATAATGGCAGGTAAGTGGGGTTCTTTAAAAAGGTCTCTAAAATTACACTGATTTGACAAGAGAGAACCACATGAAAGTGCCCCATGAACAAATTTACTTGATAAACCGTTACAAAAATAAGGTAGAGGTTCACTTTCAGCATTGAAAATATATTGGAAATTTTAAAGGTTTTGACCTCTGAGATCAGGTCTGCAGCTAGCAGAAACAACAATTTTCTGAAATGACTGCCTGCCAGCTGTCATTTCCAGGGCAGTTTGGTCAGACTTTAGGGCTAAATTGAAAATGACATATTAATAAGGGCAAGCTGAACTATGACATCATGGAATAAAATACTCTGTGCCCGTGTATAGATTTTATCCTGATTGTGTGGGCCAAGCTATTATCAGATGACATAAAAACTATTTGCTCTCTTCTTCACCTAACAAGCCTTACAAGACTCTTCTTGTTATCTACAATGGCTTAGATCCAGTCCTAGGACTGAGCGAGCTCCCCCCACACTTTGGGGATCTGCATAGCGCAGACACAGTTTTGCAAGTATAAACACATGATAAAACATGACAAACAGGACAGAGGTGACTAATGCTGCATTAAAGCAAGTGCTACCACGTGACTATGTAGTTATTCCAGCCTTGAAATGGCAAGAAGGCCAAAGAAGGTGCAAGTAACTAAGCATCTCTCTTCAGGATCATGATTAAGCTTATGATTCCTCTGAAGTCACCTCTGCAATCAGGCAATGCAGTTATAAGGTTTCAAGACCTCATAAGACATCTTGAGCCCTATTTCTGCTCAGGACTATACCTAGCACAAACTTACTTTGACACCTGCATATAGCCTCCATCCACATTTGCATTAAAATGCAACCGTCACCTTGCCCTGCTGTTTCCCACAGGTGAAATTCAAACCTATGCATATGGCTAATAACACTTCAAATATATCAATTCCCTGTCTCAAAGGATAAAATGGGACTGGATCCTGTCCTGTCTCTCTCCATAGGTGGACCCTCAACATATGCAGGGAACTGCTACAATCTTAAGGAGAGTAGTATAACTTAGCTGCTTCAGAGGCATGACTATATCAAGCATGAACATCCTTTTGTCCAAAAACTTGAGTTCTTGACAATGTCCAAGTATGTTGAGATAAAGCAAGAAGCAGCAGACCCTTATAAGGAAAAAACTATAGCACAAGCCTTCAGGTCCCCCCCTCCAAAGAAGACAGCAGAGTAGGAAAAAAAAATTAAGAAAATGTCCTCTGACTGAAGACAGAGACTCAAAAAAATGCTAACACTGTTTTTTGATGAGTGAAAAAGAAAAACAGAGTTACAGCTTTGTCTTTTTTTGTCTGAAAACTAATGAAATAACAAACAGATTGTTCCAAAACCAACTTCAAATAACTTGGAGACTGCAGGCTTCTCAGTGACAGCTCTTTACAATATACCTACCTCTATGTGATAAATGAACCACTGGAAAATATGAATGAATATAATGTACTTCTGGGAATTCACTAAGAAGAAAAAGGTATTCCATTACTGAGTACTTATGGGGACACCCATTGCTCTGTATTACATTTCTGTAGCATTCAAATGCTTAACATCAGCACAGGGCCTAGGTATGTTTGTGTCTTTCAAATATCTGGTATTTTGATGGGAATTGTCTATCTAAAGGCTTCCAACACAGTCCACACATCGCTCTCTCAAAAGAAAGGAAGTAGAATTTGGGCAAGGCAGAATTACCATTACATGGACAATTAGTTGAATGACTGCAAGCGAAGAGTACTATAAATTAATCGGACCAACGCGAGATCTCCAGTGTGGTACCAAAGGAATCTGCTCTGGGTACAGTGCTATTTTAGATTTGAATTAACAACGTTGATACAGAGATAAACAATATACTGGTCTAATTTTCAGATTATAAAAATTCACAAGGGTTGCAAACCCTTTCAAGAGACTAGAGTAAGCCTTGAAGGGATTTTGATGAATTAGAGGACTAGGCTGTAAAAAATAATAAATTTTAAAAAATTCACTACAAACAAGTGCTACACACCAAATGCACAAACACAGAATAGTGGAAAATTGGCTTGGCACTAGACCTATCCAGGAGCGATGGTGAATCACAAATTCAACACAGGTCAGCGATGTGATGTTGTTACATGTTAATGGAAGTATTCAGGACACAGGAAGTGACAGCACCAGTTTAAATGCCATTGGTCAGGTCTTGGGTTGAGCACTGTGTGCAGTTCTGCTTTTTAAGAGGGATGTGGAGAAGCTGAATCCAGAGGTGGGAAATGAAAATGATAAAAGGGGTTGAAAAACAAGTTGTACAAGAAGTGGCTGAAGGAATTAGGTATGTTTAGTTTGGATGAAAAGAAAATTAAGCAGCAACATGGCAACAGGAATCTCTTTCATTTGAGGTTTTCAAAAGAGGCTGGATAGCCATCTGTCTGGCATGGCTTAGGAACAGCAAATTCTCCATTTGTGCAGGAAGTCGGCTGGATGAAGTGCCTGAGAAGTCCTTCCAATTCTCTGCTTCTAAATGGAGGTGTCCAAGTTGGGTTTTAGGCAGAGGAGGGTCCCCCTTTTGCACACAATTCTCCTAGGGAAATGTCTTTGAGTTGAAAAAAAGACAGGAATGCAAGAAGGAGAGAGTAACAATGATAAGGGGAGGAGACAAAGAAATAAACACCCTGAAAATGCTATATAACGTGTCTAGCATAAAGGAGTTCATCATACACTTGAGTATTATGTCAGTTATGAGAAAGCCACATACAGTAAACACCTCAGTTTTGTACCTCTTTTGTCAGATTATACACCAATTGGTAGAGGAGAGGGGTGCAGTCAGCTCTTAACGTGTAATTGCCTGAAAACCAAAAACAGATAAAGAAATTTTTTCAAGCAGTATTGTCTTCCCCCTAAGGGACCCAACCCTACTGTTCTTACTTGGGCAAAGCTCTCCAAGGGGAGATCCTCTACAGGGAAATTTGGCCAAGCAAGGACTGCAGATTTTGGCTCAAAATGCACACAAATACAAAGCGTTTAGAGTCAGATTACAGAAAGCACTGGTTTTAAACCTAATGCATTTGCATTATAGATTATAAAACACAAGTGCATAACATTTAAACCCTTAGGAGTTCCTACGATTAGAAAACTATTCTTCCTGTCCCATGAACACAAAATTCCTCCCCAACTCCATTCTTTCCTGAAGCCTGTGAAACAGGATGGATTTTTCAATATACAAATGTGGCAGGCAGGGAGCATTATTATTTATTAGTATTAGCAAATCTATACTGGATGGGAAAGGAAGACAGCAAGTTCCAGAGGGAGCTGCACAGAACAATCCTTCCAACTGCTTCTTCTTTCCTATCAAGTGAGAGCATCTACCTTGAGTGTCTTTGTTGACTGCAAGTATAGTGATCAGCCAGTGGAGATAAGCTTGTGTGTCAGAACTTTGTCACATCTACACATGTATTTGCTCTGGCCTAAATTTACTCTGGTGTAAACTAATCTGAAGTAAGCACTTTCAGGCAGGTGTCTACACATATGGGGATTAGGGAACAGATTTGCTGCTCTTTGCACCAAGTTTCCTGTAGTTCTGCCATGGGCCCCTGCCACCACCGGGGGGAGGGGGGTAGAAGAGGAGGGGGCCTAGACCCACCCTGGGTTCTAGCCTAGGGGTTGGCAGAGAGCACCAGAAAGAGCTGCAGAGGTGGGGCAGGTCCCAGCCCCCTGGTCCAATCCATCAGTGGGGCAGTTACCAGCTAGCTCACTGCTAGCTGTCCCACCAGCAGATCGGGGCAGGGGCCTGGGACCTACCCACCCCTGTAGCTCTTTCTAAGCCCTGTGCATCAATCACCCAATCAGGGCATGGGGCTAGGACCTGTCCCTGAACAGGACAGTTCACAGCCCCCACCCTGCATGCTGGGCAGAGGCTGGGAAATTTGTTTCCTGCTCTGCTCCGTGAGCCTGGAGCTGGGGGTGGGGAACAGGCTGGGGGGCTTGTCCCCTGCCCAACTCTGTGAGTGCAGATCTGAGTGGGGAACAAACTCCCTAGTGCTCATGGAGCTGGGTGGGGAACAGACTCCCCTGCCTCTGCCAGCAGGGAGCTCCCAGCACCAGTTCTGCTACCTCGGAGTTGGTGCTGGGAGACTCATCTCTCACCACCCCCTCCCCAGTCATGATCTCGGAGCAGGGGGTTAGGAGCTCTCTGCTGTCAGGGCAGGAGAACAGCTGCCTGCTGCTGGGGCAGGCTCTACCACAACAGCCTGGACTTGAACTATCTCCCACCCCCTCATGGATGGCTGACTGGGAGCAGATTTTGCTCCTGATTAGGTGCCTACATGAGCACTACTGCACCATTACTAATCTTGAGTAAATTTGCTACCTGCATTTTCAGGTAGCAAATTTACTCAGGATTAGGGAGATTTACTCTGAATTCAACACGTGCATGTGCAGACAGACATGCTTACTTCAAAGTAAACTGTGCTAATGCAAAGTTAAACATCCCATGTAGATGCACTCACTGTTTTACAATCATAAGGAAGTAGGGCTGGAAGGGACCACCAGAGATCATCTAGTCCAAACCCCTGCCTAAGGCATGATAGTCACTATCCAAAC